TCAAGATCTCCTTTCTCGATCCTTCATTATTATGGGCATGAAATTTCGTAGTTATATACAGGAATTCCTACTTATTTTGTACAAGTTTATTGCTGCAGTAAAACATCGTCGCTAAAATTTGTGAGGACAGCTAAAACTTTTAAATGCGAAACCCTTTTGTACTTGTTATTGCACTTGAAAACCAGCCTAATAGCTTTCTTCAACGGAGTAAAAATGGATCTAGTCTTGGTTAGTGAAGAGATGATCTTGATCTCGTCAAACTAGAAGGGTTTTTTTTCCTTCTTTTCGAGTGTGAATTTTCATTGCTGTGATGTTTTTATTAGAAGGACAGAGTACAAGAATGTTATTTAGAGCAAATTCAAATGATTATCGTGTGAGGAGAAGGAGTTTGATTGCAAATGATTGTAAGAATTTGTCACTTTAGAATCTGTCCAAGTTCCGAGCCGTTAAACTGGTATCGCACGCAATGCTGCGAATACAGTAAGGAACTACTAGAAAATGCTTGTCTCAGTTTATAGTAACTGTCCTCCCTCCTAACAGTTGCCTAATCAGCTGCGAATGAAGGACCTCTTCCTGTCACACTACATAGTCTCTAATGAGTACACTGTTTTGGTTTGCACTCTTGAACATATGCAAGCGTCCCCGTATTTGAAAATTTGTTAAATAATCTTGAAATATAAATACTTCACTCAATCGATAAATACAAAGTTTTCCCCTTATTGGATCCAACTAACTTATGCACACATCGACAGATTTGAGCTTTGAACTTACATAACGTGCAACGTATGCAGCAAGATTTTTGCAGGCTTCCTGGTGGACTAGGTCGAGGTCATGTCTACGAATATTCTCGACCAGGACTTCATGAATACAGCGACAGTTACAGTACGTCTCAATCATTTGGCAGCCCATTGGGTCGCATTTTCTCTACTGCCAAGTCGAACGAGTTCTCCAACTCTTACTCAGTCAGTTGAAATGGGTTGTTTAATTGTAGTGAACTTATGCAATTTTCTTTCAGAACTCTTGGAGCTCTGATTCAAACTCATTTTCCGGTGCAAGGACAACCTCCTCGCCTCGCTTTACGAAGATGATCACCCCGGTAAGTTAAAAACATAGTGTTATTAACAATGTCGATTATGTCACTCGTCCATTATTCAAGCATGGTCATTATCTACGTATTAGAGATAAAAGGTAGAGAATGCTATGAATTTTCAAGTAAAGCTTCTTACATAGAATAATTAGCATGTGCTTTTCAAGGCTCTAATTGTTAGTGATTTATATAGGCAGAAGACTCAAAATTAGGTTCAGGATTGAGTGAATTACACTTATTCGCCGCTTAGCTAATTGACGTTGTGTACTTGTTTTAGTTTCGATAGCTCTATGTGATAGGTATCACTTGTGATTATACCCCAGAGCACATTATAAAGTTGAAGCACACCCTAAGCTCGCGTATCATGTGCTTGACCTCCTGTGCGATCCATGATAGCTTGTAGGTGAAATTTCCCTTCTTCTTTGCTGAAAGGTGGTTAGTCCTCATCGACAAGGAAGTAATGGCTCTATATGAAAGTCAGTTGCCTGACTTAACTCCATCCCAGGCTCGGCATCAGCTCCCTAGAGTGTATGTTACCGTTTTTGGAAAAAACAAGGCAGAGCCAGAGATCAGCGATTTAGTTCCGGCCTTCCCTAATACGCACTTCACAACTATCCACAATAACTACCCACCACATTAACGACATCCTTACAAACCTGCTTGCACAACATCTGCGCGAGTAATTCAGACAGCTATTTTCAGCAACTTATTTATTCCATTTCTCAAGCGATACCGATTGACATACCAAGTATGGGATGAAGATGCGCGACTAAAGTTTAGGAGTTGTATGTAAAATTTCTGAAAATTATGGAATGAAATCGTCGTGATTTGCTCCAGAAGAGACATAGAAACATTTCAAGCCTCCCATTAGCAAACACTTTTTCGTCCCTCAATTTCGCCTTGCCTTTAAAAAATTTTATGCACCTCCCGACTCAATTAATGGCATAAAAACAGAGCGAAATTCTGCCTTTTTCTCTTAGTAGAGCCTTGGTAATTTACCTTGGGGAAGAATACGCGTTTTAAAGAACGGCGCTGCAGTATATACTTCGCTTGTGTGCATACTTACCGACATAAAGGGGATTTTTGTGAATATGTTTCCAAGGAGGTATTGT